CGTAAAAAGAATGAAATCATATCCTTTGCGATATCCTGGATGGAGCCAGAGGCCTAACTAAGTGAAGTAACTCAGAAAAAGACAATCAAATATCACATGTTCTCATGTATAAGTGGGAGCTAAACAGTAGGTACACATGGACGTTAAGATGAAAATAATAAACACTAGGGACTCCAAAGAGAGAGAGTTGGGGGTGGGGGTAAAGGTTGAAAAATTATCTATTGGGTACTGTGTTCACTATTTGGCTGATGGGTATACTAGAAGCCCAACCCCCACTATTATGCACTATTATGCAATATATCTATGTAATTTTAAAATAAAATTTGAAAATATCAGTAATAAGACAGTATTCTTTGATGTGAAAATGGGCAGGTGACATGAATAGGCAATTTCAAATGAAAAAAATTGAAGTACCGATGAAACCCATATTAAAAATTCAACCTCATTGTTCAGTTCCCACCTGTGAGTGAGAACATTCGGTGTTTGGTTTTCTGTTCTTGCGATAGTTTGCTGAGAATGATGGTTTCCAGCTGCATCCATGTCCCTACAAAGGACACAAACTCATCCTTTTTTATGGCTGCCATAGTATATTCCATGGGTGTATACGTGCCACATTTTCTTTAATCCAGTCTGTCACTGCATGGACATTTGGTTGATTCCAAGTCTTTGCTATTGTGAATAGTGCCGCAATGAACATACGTGTGCATGTGTCTTTATAGGCAGCATGATTTATAATCCCTTTGGGTATCGGAAGGGAAACATCATACACTGGAGCTATCATGGGGAGGGGGAGGGGGGGAGGGATTGCATTAGGGAGTTATACCTGTGTAAATGACGAGTTGATGGGTGCTGATGAGTTGATGGTGGGCAGCATGCCAACATGGCACAAGTATAATATGTAACAAACCTGCACGTTATGCATATGTACCTAGAACTTAAAGTATTTAATAATAAAAAAAAATCAACCTCTCAGATAGGTAATGAATTGTAAATATAAATACCTTCGCTATACAATTGGTTATTTCTTTCTTCCTTTTTTTTTTTTTTTTTTTTAGATGGAGTCTTGCTTGTCGCCAGGCTGGAGTGCAGTGGCGCAACCTTGGCTCAGTGCAACCTCCGCCTCCTGGGTTCAAGCGATTCTCCTGCCTCGGCCTCCTGAGTAGCTGGGACTACAGGCGTGCACCACTACACCCCGCTAATTTATTTTTTATTTTTAGTAGAGACGGGGTTTCACCATGTTGGCCAGGATGGTCTCTATCTCTTGACCTCTATCCTCCCGACTTGGCCTCCCAAAGTACAATTGGTTATTTCTCTAAAGTATACATATGATTCTTCTCCTAAATGAAACATAGGAGTATTGCGCTGTATAAATTTTAAGTAGTTTTTGTATGTGGTAAAGTTTCCAATTCCTTCCCCATATCTCCTTTCTGTCTCTTTCACCCCCAGAGGACCTAGATGTTTTGGATAGCAGAATCTTACATCATTTGTCACCATGACAGTTGAATGCAGGCAATAATAGATGCAAGTACAGTTACTTATTAAGGACCTTTTCCTTTTAAAGGTGAAATAGAATATCTGTAATTGTGTGTTAGAGTCTAGAAAAAGTTGGTTCAATTCAGCAGAAACACTTATTGAACGATTACTATTATGTGTCATGTGCATTGATCTGTAGTGGGGATGAAAAGATATGAAATTTGCTTTCAAGTAACTCATTAATCTTATTTGTGTCGTTATGCATTAATTTATTCTTATAGTTTTCTTTTTAAAGAGGCAGGTAATCTGTTTTCTGAAAATTTATTCCAGACCTTCATTTATTCTTTACGTACTGTACAGTTCACCCGTTTAAAATGTACAGTTCAGTGATTCACAGAGCTATGCAGCCACCATTACAACAGGCCATATTAGAATATTTTCATCATCCCCAAAATAAACTCTCTACCCATTAGCAGTCATTGCCCATTCCTCCTTTTCCCCAGTCCTTGGCAACCACTAATCTACATTTTGTCTCTGTAATGGAATCATATATTTTTAATAAATGGAATAATATATTATTCGGTCTTTTGTGACTAGCTTCTTTCACTTAGCATGCTTTCAAAACTCATTCATGTGGTAGCATGTATTACTACTTTTCCTTTTACGGCAAATACAATTCTATTGCATGGATACGCTGTATTTTATTCATCTATTCATCAGTTAATAGGCATTTGGGTTTCTACCTCTTGTCTGTTTTGAATAATACTGCCATGAATATTCACATATGTGTTTTTGTGTGAATATATGTTTCATCTCTTTTTAGCATATATATATATATATCCCTAAGAGTAGAATTGCTGGGTCATACGGTAACACTTTGTTAGCCCTTTGAGGAAATGCCAGACAGTTTTCCAAAAAGGTACAGCATTTTACATTTCCAACAGCAGTGTAAAAAAATTCCAATTTCTCCACGTCCTCATCAACACTTGATCTATCTTTTTGATTATAGCCATCCCAATGGGTATAATACAGTATCTCATTGTGGCTTTGATTTGCAATTCCCTAATGACTAAGGATAGTGAGCATGTTTTCATGTGCTTTCTTGGCCATTTGTATCAGCAATTTTGTGTCTTTCTGACCATTCTCTTGTAGTCACATCTACCTCTGACCACATCCTGGAAATGTTCTCTACTTTAAAGGATTGGGGTCATTAAATTTTCTCACTTGGATAATTCAGGATATCTCAAGGTATTTAACCTTAATCTCATCTGTAAAGTCCCTTTTATCAAGTAAGGCAGTATGTTCACAGGTTCTAGGTATTAGGCCATCTTTGGGGACCAGTTTTCTGTCTCTCACACCATATTAACAATAGTAAGTCTTTTGATCCGTAAGCATGATATCTTTTTATTTATTTAGAACATCTTTAATTTCTTCAAATGATGTTTCATATTTTTGTGTACATTATGTAATTTAAAAATTGTCCTTGAGTATTTCTTTGTGAGCAATCATAAATGGAATTATATTCTTACTTTCTTTCATTTTGTATTGTTCATTGTTATAATATAGAAATGTAATTTATTTTTGTATATTAATCTTGTATCCTGCAACCTTACAGAACTTGTTTATTGTTCTAGTAGATTTTTTATTTCTTAGAATTTTCTGTGTTCATGATCATGTCATCTATGAATAGAGATAGTTTTACTTCTTTCTTTTCAATCCACATGCATTTTATTTCTTTTTCCTGCCTATTGTCCTGGCTAGAATTTTCAATGTATTGTTGAATCGAAGTGGTTAGAGCAGACATCCTTGTTTTGTTTCTGATGGTAGTGGGAAAGTATTTAGTCTTTCTCCATTAAGTGTGATGTTACTATAGCTTATTCATTAGTGCCCTTTATCCTGTTTAGGAAGCTCCCTTCTCTTCCTAATTTGTTGAGTGTTTGTGCCATGAAAGGGTATTGGATTTTTATCAAATGCTTTTACTGCTTCTATTGAGATGATAATGTGTTTTTTTAAATAATAGCATAATTGAGGTATAATTCACATATCTTAAAATTCACCATTTTTAAGTATACAATTCAGTGTTTTTTAATATAGTCCCATAGTGTACAACTATCACCACTATGTAATTTGAGAACATTCTCATCGCCCTCCCACAAAACACCCTATACCCATTAGCAGTCACTGCCCATTACCTACTCCTCCCAGCCCCTGGGAATCATTAATATACTTTCTGTCTATGAATTTGCCTATTCTGGACATTTCATATAAATAGAATTTCACAATATGAAGCTTTTTGTTTGTTTGTTTGTTTGGTCTGGCTTCTTACATTTAGCATAATGTTTTCAAGATTCATTCATGTTGTAGTGTACATCAGTACTTAACTCTTCTGATTTCAGGACAGCCCTTTTCAGCTTTCTTTTCCCCTGGTTATCGCTGATAAACTAGCCGACTTACACCCTAAATTATTTTTCTCATAAAACTCCCTGCCTCCTCTTAATTGTTTACCTCCCAAATCTCCATTTTTTAGAGTAAGGTTTTGGACTTGAATGTCCTCACACTCTGTTTCAATAAAGTCGGTTCTTTTGGGGATGGCTTGGGAGCTCTCTGTTCTTATGAATGGTCTTTATCCCTGGGCAGAATCGTTCAGCCAGTGCTTTGGGTACTGGGCAGTGACAGTAGCCACTGGTCTTCCTGCTTACCTCTTCAGGTGTGGACCTTAACCCTGCAAGTGAACTGGGCTGGGATAATCAGGGTGAGGGTGATTGGGGCCTCAGTATTCTCAGCCTTCTCTGCTTGGGGTTGAGTCTCCACCCTGTGAGTAAAGGAAGGGAGCCCTTGAACTCTTGGCTATACTCAACAGGAATTTCGCCCCTTCAACTCTGTGTTGGAAGTGATAAGAAATGTTGGCTACTTGTCTCTCCCACTGGGATACTCTATTCCTTGATTGGGAGCTGGGGGCAGAGGGAGTCCAGTTTTGGCTACCCCTCCCTGGGGAGTAGCTTCTGTCAAGGTAGACAAGGGGATGGTGAAAGGAAAGGAGTGCTTTGTGGCTCATATGCCATAGACTGTCACTGTTAGATTACTGAGTTTTAGCAGATTTTCTTGAATAAATGTTTCTTCATTTGCTATGGGCTCTTAGAACAATTTCTAGCCATTTCCAATTTAAAGAAAAAAAAAAACAACTTTTTGCTGGAACTTTTTGCTGGTTATGGATTTACTTGGAACAGGTTCATGGGACTTTTTATGCTGCAGTTCTGGAAGTGGATCCCCCCTCTTAGGACTTCTTTTTCAGTAAAGTAGAATTTCTTTGTTATGATGATGCTAGAAGACTGACTATACTAAAGTAGTACCAATGAACTGTTTTTTTAATCAAGCTTTTACTCTGTCTTATTGATTAGGTTTCAGGATACCTGCTTTTCCTTGCTTTGTTTTTATTTCTCCATATTGATGAACCTTGTTATAATGGTGTTTTACTTTAAAAATTATTTTTAGTGACATATTTTTCCGTTTGTTACTTTGATTTTTAGGTTTGGCTCCAGCAGCTGCTGTTGCCACCACCACTAGTTCAAGCACCATGCAGTTTACCTCAATATCAAATGCTTTGACCTCCACTGCTGCTATTGGGCTCTCATGTAAGTTACTAATTCCAAAGAAAATACTGTAATTTCTCATGAGGCCACCTTACTCAATTTGCCAGTATATACTACAGATCTCCTGTGTCTCAGAAATTATCATTATTCTTGAACCCATTTATAATTGCTGATATCAATAGTAGTTTTGCTTAAGAACCTAATTCTCATGGCTTTAGCTGTGAATTTTTTTTATGTTAACATGGTTATTATAGCTTAAAATGCTAACTTTAAGCATATAATTCATTAATATTGTGATGCTTTGAAACAACTTCTTGAAGCTATTAACAGTAGGGAGAGTGGGAGTTTTGCCAAGTATTTCTGAAGGGAAGAAGTCCTTATCCATGTGACTAAGATAAAATGGGAAATAAATGTTGGAGCCTTCCTATAGTGTGTTTTTCCATACCGACCTGGTTTGTGGTCCTTACATTTTACCTATCAGAAGTGGAACATGACAAAGGGCCAGCTGTAGTTTTGGGGTTCTAATTGACATTGTGTGATGCCTTGTGACCTCTCCTCTTGAAGAGGACCATCTATCTGGATGCTTTGAGCTGGGATGTGAGACTTTATCTTGTAACCTCAACTTCTTTGTTACACATTTTCCATTAGTATAGTAATAGCAAATGTTGGAAATATTGAATTCAGGCCGGGCTCAGTGGCTCATGCCTGTAATCCCAGCATTTTGGGAGGCCATGGCAGGTGGATTGCTCGAGCCCAGGCGTTTGAGACCAGCCTGGGCAACATGGTGAAACCCTGTCTCTACAAAAAATACAAAAATTTGCCGGACATAGTGGTGTGTGCCTGTAGTCCCGGCTACTGGGGAGGCTGAGGTGGGAGGACTGCTTGAGCCCAGGAGGTCAAGGCTGCAGTGAGCCAAGATTGCACCACTGCACTCCAGCCTGGGTGACATAGTAAGACCCTGTCAAACAAAAAAAAAGGAAAGAAAGGAAGAAAGAAAGAGAGAGAGGGAGGGAGGGAGAGAGAGAGAGAAAGAAAGAGAAAGAAAAAAGAAAGAAAGAAAAAAAGAAAGAAAGAAAGAGAAAGAAAGAAAGAAAGAAAAAGAAAGAAAGAAAGAAAAGAAAGAAAGAAAGAAAAGAAAGAAAGAAAAGAAAGAAAGAAAGAAAAGAAAGAAAGAAAGTTGTAGGTCTTAGGCAATTTTTTCTTACAGGTCTCTATAAACTGACTTCTTTCAAAGTTTCTTCTTCACAATATCATAATGTTCATCATTAAATTTTGTTGTAATCCTAGCTGTAATAGCCCCCCTCCCCAGCTCTATGACAGTAAGATTGTCTCCATTCCTGGGAATAAAACTAGCCAGAAAATGTTTGATGCTTAATTGAGCATGAATAATGCTCAATTAACCATCACCATCCTCTTGTGCTATTGGCATAGTTAGGCATTAGTTAAGATTGGTTACCACGTGACTTATATTTTCTACCACTTAGACTTCAATTTTGAGACATGACTATGATTCTGGAACCATTTTGATATATGTAAGCAGTATCCTTCTCAACTATGATAGATTTCATGAATATGACCATGTCCAAGGTTTGGAGTTAAAATTATTGTTCAGTCAAAACTTGCTCTCTGACCTTTGACAGGTTCCCCCACTTATCTCCCTCTGATGTCCTTGTCTACAAAATGAAAATATATTGGGACCACAATATCTTTTAATTAACTTTAATGAATTATAACTTATACATCATAAAATTAACTTACTTTAAGTATGCAATCCAGAAATTTTAGTAAGTTTATCAAATTGTGTAACCATCACTGTATTTAGTTTTAGAGCATTTATATCATTCCAATAAGATCCCTCAGCCACAGACAACCACTAATCTGTTTTCCATCTCCATAGATTTGCCTTTTCTGGAAATTTCATATAAATGGATTGACCATGGTATTTTGAAGTTTAACCAAAAGTTTCTGAAGGACTCTTCAGATGAAAAAGACTATATAAATTTCTCACTGTTTTTGATTTAAAGGGTAATAGTTAATATTATGTTGTTCTCTACTGTTGGTGCTCCAACAACTTCGGCTAGAACATTTAATATTATAACCTTGGGATTTGCATTAAAATTCCCTGGAGCAGGTGGAGCAGCTCCTACTGTAGTTAATAAAATTTTAGAAGTATCAGGATGTCTTGGGGCTCTCACTGGAAATGTGCTTTATAACAAGCAGTAAGTAAGTTCTATGGCTTTTAGGGCTAAGTGGTTTTGACCATCTCATCAGAGGATCCAAAAGGTACACTAATATGTTTATGTAGATGATTGCCAAAGAGTAGAATGAGACAGTTGATATCAATGATGTTACTTCTTTGAGATGACTACAGGCAAAACAGCTGCCAAATTCTTGCCAACCATCAAACTTAAGAATTTTTGTTCTTGATCACAGTATTTAGCTGGTTGAGATTGATAAAGTTTTCTTTTTTTCTCTAAAAGTTAATTTAAGTTTTGACCTCTATTAAAGTTGACCCTCTTCTAAAGTTGATTACAGGAGTTTCTCTAGACCTATTCTAAATTTGTTTCTGCCAGTTAGGAGCTAGTTAGGTTGTAGGTGGAAGAAGACTTGGTTATCCATTGCCCCATAGCTATTGTGAGCTGGGTGATAAGGGGTCTTCTACCTAAACCTGTCTTTTAAGTTATACTCCATTTTGGAGCAGTCTTATTTGTTTTTACTTTAAAAAGTTTACTTAGGGATGAAATGACTCTTTTTTAATCTGGCTTAAACTAAAAGTCAATCCCTTTTAAGCTTAAAATAATTATTCCTAAACAGACATGTATATCATCCCTCTCTTTTTTTTTAAGATACAGTCTCACTTTGTCACCCAGGTTAGAGTGCAGTGGCGTGATTATAGCTGACTGCAGCCTAATCTCCTGGATTTATGTGATCCTCCCACCTCAGCCTTCTGAGTACCTGGGACTGCAGGCATGCACCACCATGACCAACTAATTTTTTTTTTTTTTTTTTTTTTTTTTTTTTTTAGTAGAGATGAGGTCTCACTATATTGTCCAGGCTGGTCTCAAACTCCTGGGTTCAAGTGATCCTCCCACCTCAGCCTCCTGAATATCTGGAACTACAGGTGTGCACCACCATGCCTGGCTGATTTTTTTTTTTTTTTTTTTTAGTAGAGATGGGGTCTCACTACATTGTCCAGGCTGGTCTCAAACTTCTGGGCTCAAGCTGTCCTCCCACCTTGGCCTCCCAAAGTGCTCAACTTGTAGGCATGAGGCACCACACCTGGCCTCATCTCTTTATTTATTCTTTTACATGACCTTATGAGTTTCTACTGTTTAGCAGGCTAACTGGCCAATGTATGAGACTTGTGAAGGGTGTGTCATAAGAACGTTGCAAGTTACCATATTCGCAAAAAATGTAACACATTATTTCCCCATAAAACAATGACAAAATAAAACCTGGTTCTTTTAGTTATGGGTTGAATCACTGAAATATGAATGGGCAGCCTCTTTGATGATGCTGTCATATCCAGCCCTTATCTATATAAGTCTCAAATTCTTTCGTACAAATACTACTTTTGCCACTAGCCCATCCCTTAGCACCATGATATGATTTGGCTGTGTCCTCACACAAATCTCATCTTGAATTGTAGCTCCCATAATTCCCATGTGTTGTGGGAGGGACTTGGTGAGAGGTAACTGAATCATGAGGACGGGTCTTTCTCATGCTGTTCTTGTGATAGTGAATAAATCTCACAAGATATGATGGTTTTATAAAAGGGAGTTCCCTTACACAAGCTCTCTTGCCTGCCACCATGTAAGACGTGACTTTGCTCCTCATTCACCTTCTGTCATGATTGTGAGGCCTCCTCAGCCATGTGGAACTGTGAGTCAATTAAACCTCTTTCCTTTATAAACTATCCAGTCTCGGGTATGTCTTTATTAGCAGCGTGAGAACAGACTAATACACATCATTTCACCCACCAGGACCTAACGCACTTACCCTTCTCCCCATTAGGTATGTCTCAACCTGACAGCCCCAATTTGGGGTGTTCTTTTTCCCTACTTACCTTTCTTTCTCTTCAAGTGTATTTACTTATTCAGATTCTTCATCTCACTAACCAGTCTTGCAGAGCAGCTTTCAAGCGTTTGTATCTGCAGATTTACAGCCACTTGGGATTACTCTCTGCCCTAGGTATAATCACCAAATTTTAAGAGAAGTTTGCTTTTTATAGTCTGGGAAGGTGATGATGTCCATTTCCGGCATGGAATAAGATGTATAGTTGTTGATCAGGGACAGGATAGGAAAACTGGATAGTAGAATATTTTAAAGACTATTTCACTATTTTATGCAATGATTTTTAAGACTATCAGAATGAGATTTATTTAAATGTGAGTTCAAATTTGGTATGTAGTTTTTTGTATTATTTTTAGAACCATACTTCCGCTTTACTACACAGATAATGTAGTATTGACTGTATTAACTGGTTAAGACTAAAGTTGTAATTTGCAAAATCAAACTGTGATACAACTTCCAAACCCATTCCTTTCCTAGGTATTAATTGAAATATTATTTGACTATGCCAGAGTTAATTTATGCCTTTAAAAATAGCATGAAAGATAACAAAAATAAAACTGTATAAAAAGTTAAAATAGGCCGGGTGTGGTGGCTCCCGCCTGTAATCCCAGCACTTTGAGAGGCTGAGGTGGGCGGATCACGAGGTCGGGAGATCAAGACCATCCTGGCTAACACAGTGAAACCCCATCTCTACTAAAAATAAGAAAAAATTAGCCGAGTGTGGTGGCACGTGCCTGTAGTCCCAGCTACTTGGGAGGCTGAGGCAGGAGAATTGCTTGAACCTGGGTGGTGGAGGTTGCAGTGAGCCAAGATCGTGCCACTGCACTCCAGCCTGGGTGACAGAGCGAGACTCCATCTCAAAAACAAACAAAAAAAAGAAGTTAAAATAATCATACCATTTTAAAATGACTCAGGATTCCTTTATGTTTGTGCTGCTTATAGGTAAAAACAATACATACATGCATATATACATATCACTCCCTCTAGAGAGAACAGTTTATCTTTCTAGACTTTTTTTCTAAGCATATACAGACATACATTAAATTTGTTTTATAAAAATGGTACCATACTCTGTGTGTGTGTGTGTGTGTGTATACACATTCTTAGAATTTGCTGTTTCCTCTTAAGTATACATCTTTTTTTTTCTTTTTTTTTTGGAGGCAGAATCTCGCTCTGTTGCTCACTTAGCCTCCTGAGTAGCTGGGATTACAGGTGTGCACCACATCTGGCTGATTTTTGTATTTTTAGTAGAGATGGGGTTTCACCATGTTGGCCAGGCTCGTCTCAAACTCCTGACCTCCAGTGATATACCTGCTTCGGCCTCCCAAAGTGCTGGGATTACAGGTGTGAGCCACCCTGCCTAGCCAATTATACATCTTTGAATACCTATCCATGTTAGGAAATACAGATTACTTTATTAGAAAACCATCTTTGGGTGAAGATATTCTCCTTTACAAGAAGGGCTCATTTAAAAAAAAAAAATTATTTCTGTCTTGAATGCAGTAGTTACTCAGTGTTTGGGTGAATTAATCAATAAAGGGAGTCTATTGGCATTATCATTAATTTTTAGCATTTCTGAGGAAGGTTTTCCTTTCAGATAAGATTTTTGTTCTCAGATGAATAAAATGATGACTTATGGTTGTAAAGAATATCACGCAAGATCCAATCTGTAATCTCTCGACTGTTCTAACCATAGTGACTCCTGGGCTTCTTTGTGATTGGGCATGGTCTACCTCTGTGGTGCACATTTCACCCTCACAAGGGCTAACATAAAGAATGGGGAATTATCATGAGAACCTTTGTGGCCAAAAAGGAAATGGAGTCTCGTGGAATTCAAGTAAAGTCATTGCCATGACACTGTTACTTTAAGGAAATTGGAACTTAAGATTATTCTTAAGGCACCTTTAGGGACCTGCCAAATCAAATATTGCATAGGCATAATTCAGTTATTCTCCCTTTGTCTACTTTTTTCTTTTTTTAAATTTCTCATTGGTTTCCTTACCTCTTTCTCTGCCTTCCTGCTTTACCTTATCCTTAATTGTGACTTGCTCATGGTCCCTTACTTCTACTTCATCTCTTTCTTCTGTCAGTCCTATCAAGTCTCTCTGCCTATAGTTGGATTCCTTCTATACTTTTGGGAATATTTCCCAGTATCTGCCTAGAGTCAGATTTTTTCCATATTGCTAAATTTTTGGAAATGAAATTCTGACTCATATTAATCCTGTTTCGCTAGAGCTTTTTGTGCCAGACCCTCAGGTAGGCTGCTAGTAGTACATTGGATGGCTTCCCATCCTTCAGTTGGCCATCCTGCCCAGTCAACTGTGAACCAGGAACAAAAAGGACAGTTATCTGGAACAAAGAATGGGTATTTGAGCTTGTTCCCTCAGCAGGAATGTTCCCTCAGGCCAGCCTCCGTCAGAGTAGTCAGTGGTTGTAGCAGGCACCATGGTTTATGAATTTATCTGGTGTGGCCATTAATCTGAAACTATTGCTAATTTGGAAAGCAAAGCTAACATAAAACAAACAATCATGTACATTATATTTTCATAACAGATTCCTTGTTACAGAAGCAACATTTACTAGTTGTAAGAACATTTGAAAATACCGAGACCAAAAAGAAGAAAATAAAACCTTCCCAGTTCCCTAGCAGCCACAATTTTCTGTGCATTGTTCATTAAGTGCTCAGTGTATAATAAGACCCAAAAGTGCTGCAGAAATTTAGAAAACCAAAGGAAACTATGAGTAGGAGAGAAGTAGGTGATAAATATGGGGAACAAAGAATTTGAGTCAAGCCATGAAGGATACTTAGGATTTTATCTATAGAGAGCAGGACATTCTAATAGGGGTGTAACAGAAAAAGACACATAAGAGAGAGTCTGGGCTGTAGATAAAGCTTTGAGAGGCTTTTGACTAGGGTTTGCAAAAATGCATGCCTAGTATTGACTGTGGTATAAAGAAATAGGCACTCTTTCCTATTGATAGGGACATAAACTGGCAAAATCAAACGTTTAGATAGGGCAATTTGGCAAGTTATGTTAAAATTTAGAGCATGCTGACACTTTGATCTAGAAATTTTATTTCTAGGAATTAATTACACAGATACAGTCATGTAAGTATGCAAAGATATAGATGTACAGAGATCTTTTGTAAATTGCAATTATTCTTTTCTTGAAAGTTTCATAAAACTTACCAGCAGTGACATCTGGGACTGGAGTTTTCTTTATGAGAAGAATTTTGAAGACTGATTTGATTTCTTTCATGGTTATTGGGCTGGTTAGAAGTTTTATTTTTCTATGAATTTATCCAGGATTTTTAGTTTTCAGCTGGAAAGTTAATCCAGGTACCTGGCCTGCCATTTATTATTTCATATTACAACAGTGTTGAATTCAAATCTGCATCTTTGAGTTCAAATTTGTATTTTTAAAAATGCCTCCATAATTTTAAATCTGAACGATAAAGGCTTAAATGAAACAATTTCTCATTTCTTACTAACATTATACACTTTATTTTCCAGTTACAACTTCAACGACTACCACCACCACTTTCACCACCAACACTACTACCACAATCACCAGTGGCTTTACTGTGAACCAAAACCAACTGTCATCAAGAGGGTTTGAAAACCTTGTACCTTATACTTCAACTGTTAGGTAAGCCTATTTATTTAAAAACTTGCATGTGTTTCATTTTATTTATCATGTACAAGACATTTGCTTGGATAACTTTAGAATAATATTTGAAAGTTAGCTAAATGATTGAGTTGAGGGAACAGTTAAGAGAAAGATTTCTGTAGCTTAGGAAGTTGAATAACTAACAGCACACCTTTGCCTTCTGAATATCATTATAATAGAATCATTACTATTACGAATAATAGCTACCACTTATTGTGCAATTACTGTATGTTTGGCAAGATGACAATGCATTACAAGCATCATGTCATTTATCCTCACAGTAACCCTATGAGGTAGGCAGTATTTTCATTCCCATTTTGTAGGTGAGAAAACGAGAGCATACAGAGATTTTATAATCTGCTCATAGTTGCATACTTGTTAATGGTTGATCCAGGATTAAAATTCAGGCAGTCAAACTCTGGATATACAGGCTCTGGAGCCTGTATATGATGTTTCTCTCTAGTATTTGTTCATTTTTTAAGTTAAGCTTTTTATTTTGAGATAATTGTAGAGTCACATGTATATGTAAGAAATAATACACAACATTCTGTATGGTCTTTATATCATTTCCTCCAGTGATAACATCTTAACAGTAATATAGTATAATATCACAACCAAGATATTGATATTGCTACAGTCAAAATTCAGAACAGTTTTATCACTACAAGGATTCCTCCTGTTGCCCTTATATAGCCACACCCACTCCCCTCCTTTCCTTGACCCTGAGCAACAATTAATGTTCTCTATTTCTATAATCTTGACATTTCAAGAGTGTTGTGTAGATAGAGTCATATATATGTGACCTTTGGGAATTGGATTTTTTATTCAGCATAATCCCTTGTGATCCACCCAAGTTGTCATGAGCATCAATAGTTTGTTCTTTTTTATTTCTGAGTAGTATTCCATAGTATTTTGGATGCACCATGGTTTGTTTAACCATTCACCTGTTGATGGACATACAGGCTGTTTCCAGTTTTTTTGATATTATGAAAAAAGCTGGTGTGAACATTGGTGTACATGTTTATTATGAATATAAGTATTTCTCTGGGATAAATGCCTAGGAGTGCTGTTGTCGGGTGGTATGGTGGTTACATGTTTTTTGTTTGTTTGTTTTGTTTTTTAAGAAACTGTCAAATTCTTTTCCAGGGTACTGTGCCATTTTACATGCCTACTAGCAATGTATGGGTGATCCAGATTGTCTGCATTCTTGCCAGAATTTGGTGTTGTCACTATTTTTTATTTTAGCCCTTCTGACAGATGTGAAGTGATATCTCATTATGGTTTTAATTTGCATTTCCCTGTGACTAATGATGTTGAAAGTCTTCTCACATGTTTATTGCCATCAGTAGAGCCTCTTTGGTGAAATGTGTGTTCATATCTTTTGTCCATTTTCTATTTGGATTATTTGATTTTTTTACTGTTTGGTTTTGAGAGTTTGTTATGTACTCTATATGCCAGTCTTTTGTCAGATATGTGGCTTATAAGTATATTCTTTAACTGTGTAACTTGGCTTTTTATCCTCTTAACAGGGTCCTTTTGTTGTATCAAAACCTTTAATTAATGAGTTACAATTTATCACATTTTCTTTTAATGAATTGTGCTTTTAGTGTCAATTATAAGAAATCTTTTCTTAGCCCTAGATCCCAAAGATTTTCTTCTGTGTTTTTCTAAAAGTTTTATAGTTTCACATTTTACATTTAAGCTTGTGATCCATTTTGAGTCAATTTTTATATAAGGTGTGAGGTTTAGGTCAAGATTAATTTTTTTTTGTCTGTGGCTGTCCAGTTTTTCTAACATCATTTATTGAAAGACTATCTTCCCCCCAAATTGCTTTTGCACCTTTGTCAAAAATCAATTTGTGTCAAATGCTTTTTCAGCCTCAGTTGATAGTCTTTTAAGATTCTGTTTCTTTATCTTGGTGAAGTGGTAGATTACACTGATTGATTTTCAGATGTTCAACCAGCCCTGCATATGTTAAATAAATCCCACTTGATCATGGTGTATAATTTTTTGATACATTTTTAAAAATTTGGTTTCCTGGTATTTTGTCTGAGGACTTTTGTATCTAAGTTCATGAGAGATATTAGTCTGTAGTTTTCTTCTTCTTTTATGTCTCTAGTTTTGATATCAGGGTGATATTGGCTCTATAAAATGATCTTAAAAGTATTCTGTTTTCTAAAAGAAATAATGTAAATAGGGGTATTTATTTACTTCTTATTATTATTTTCTGAGACAAAGTCTCACTGTGATGCCCAGGCTAGAGTGCAGTGTCAAGATCTTAGCTCACTGCATCCTCCACCTCCCAGGTTCAAGTGATTCTCCTGCCTCAGCCGAGGCCTCCTGAGTAGCTGGGATTACAAGCTCCTGCCACCACATCCAGCTAATCTTTGTATTTTTAGTAGAGACGGGTTTCACCATGTTGGCCAGGCTGGTCTCGAACTCCTGACCTCAAGTGATCTGCCCGCCTCGGCCTCCCAAAGTGCTGGGATTACAGGCGTGAACCACCATGCTCGACTAAAGGGGCTTTTAGGCTAAAGGGGCTTTTAAATTACAAATCAATTTCTTTAGTGGTTCTAGAACTATTCAGATTATCTAGTTAATCTTTGATGAATGTGTGGTTTTTAAAGAGTTGGCCCATTTTTTATGTTGTTAAATTTGTGAGTATAAAGTTGTTCATAGTATTTCATTATTGTCCTTTTAATGGTTGTAGGGATATTCCTGTTTCATTTCTGATATTAGTGGTTTGTGTCTTTCTTTTATCAATTTTATCGATCTCTTCCCAAAGAGCCAGCTTTTGTTTAATTAATTATTCTCTATTCTTTTCATGTTTTCAATTTCACTGATATCTACTCTATTATTTCCTTCCTTCTGATTGTACTGCGTTCATTTTGCTCTTTTTCTAGTTTGTTGAGGTGTGAACTCAGACTATTGATTTGAGACTTTTCCTATTTTTTAACATACACATTTAGTGCTATAAATACCCCACTCAACACTTCCTTAACTGTGACCTACATATTATGTTATATTGTGATTTCATTCAGCTCTATATACTTATTAAATTTCCTTTGTGAATCCCTCTTTTACTAATTTATCATTTAGAAGTGTGTTGTTTAATTTCCAAGTGTTTGGAGACTTTCTTGTTGTTTTTTCTGTATTTATCGCTACTTTGATCCCATTGTGGTATTAGAATATGCTTTGTATGATTTTAGTTCTTTTATATTTATTTAGGTTTGTTTTGTGGGTGAGTATACAGTCTGTCTTGATGAATGTTCCATGGACATTTGAAAATTGTGTTTTCTGCTGTAGGGTGGAATGTTCTATATATGTAAATTAGATTCTGTTGCTTCACTGTAATTTCAGATTCTGTATTATTGGAGTCTTTCTATCTAGTAGTTCTTTCAGTTGTGGAGAGTGGCTTTTTGAAATCTCCGCCTTTAGATTATAAATTATGCTGCTATAAAGACACATGCACACGTATGTTTATTGCAGCACTATTCACAATAGCAAAGACTTGGAATCAACCCAAATGTCCATCAGTGACAGATTGGATTAAGAAAATGTGGCACATATACACCATGGAATACTATGCAGCCATAAAAAAGGATGAGTTTGTGTCCTTTGTAGGGACATGGATGCAGCTGGAAACCATCATTCTTAGCAAACTATCACAAGAACAGAAAACCAAACACCGCATGTTCTCACTCATAGGTGGGAACTGAACAATGAGATCACTTGGACTCAAGAAGGGGAACATCACACACCGGGGCCTATCATGGGGAGGGGGGAGGGGGGAGGGACTGCATTGGGAGTTATACCTGATGTAAATGACGAGTTGATGGGTGCAGCACAGCAACATGGCACAAGTATACATATGTAACAAACCTGCACGTTATGCACATGTACCCTACAACTTAAAGTATAATAATAATAAATAAATTTAAAAAAAAAAAAAAGAAATCTCCGCCTTTAATTGTGGACTTCTCTATTTCTCCATTTAGCTCTATCAGTTTTTATTTCATGTATTTTGAGGCTTTCTTGTTTGGTCGCCTACACATGTAGGATTGTTAGCCTTCCAGATGCCTTGATTCCTTTATCACTATGTAATGTCTCTCTTTGGTTCTAGTAATTTTCTTTGCTCTGTAGTCCACTTTATTTGATATTAATATAGCCATTTCTTTTTAAAAAATGAAGCTTGCATTCTTTCCATTCTTTTACTTTCAAACTGTGTATTAATATATCCTTGTATTTGAAGTGAATTTCTTATAAACAGTATATTGTTGGATCATTTTTTATTCACTCTTCCAGTCTCTGTATTTTATTGGTATGCTTAGCACATTTATATTTAAGGTAACTATTCATATGTTAGAGCTTAAATCTGCCATTTTATTTGTTGCTTCTGATTTTTGTTCTTCTCTTTCCTTTTTTTACTCTGCCGTCGGTTGTTTGAATATTTTTGGGGGGTTTCATCTTGTTCTGTTAATAGTGTTTTTAAGTACATTATTTTGTATAGTTTTATTACTGGTTGCTCTAGGTATTCCAGATACATGCATTACTTACAACAGTGTAGTCATACCACTACACTGTGTGGGTGAAATACAGAAACCTTAATTCCATTTAATTCCTTTTACCCTTCTTAGCTTTTAAGTATGGTTGTCTCAGCCATTTCTTCTGTGTACATTGAATATCACATCACATGGGGTTATAATTTTTAGTTCAGCCATCAAATGATTTAAGAAACGAGAAGTAGAATAGTATATTTACCCTTGTCTATACCCATTTTGATATTCCTTCCTTTATATCAGGGGTCCTCAACCCCTGGGTCAAAGACCAGTACTGATCTGTAGCATGTTAGGAACCGGACCACACAACAAGAGGCGAGCAGCAGGTGAGGATGCATTAATTACTGCCTGAGCTCCGCCTCCTGTCAGATCAGACATTAGATTCTCATAGGAGCGTGAACCCTATAGTAAACTGCACATGCAAGGGATCTAGGTTGTACACTCCTGATGAGAATCTAACGCCTGATGATCCTCCTGCAGGCCCCTCCCACCGTCTGTGGAAAAAGTGTCTTCCACAAAACCAGTTCCTGGTGCCTAAAAGGTTGGGGATCGCTGCTTTATATGATGTTCCAAGTCTTCTGTTTTCATTTCCTTTCTGTTTAATCTTCAAGGGTAGGTTTGCTAGCAACAAATTATCTTGATTTGACTTTGTGTGAGAATATCTTTATCTCCCCCTTCATTTCTGAAGAACATTTTCACCAGATACAGAAGTCATTGTTGACACTTTTTTTTCATTCAGTGCTTGGTTTTAGATGAGAAATCTACTGTCATCTAAACTGATATTCCTTTTTAAGTAATGCATTTTTTTCTTTCTGGTTGCTTTCAAGATTTTTTTTCTTTGTCTTTAGTTTTCAGAAGTTTAATTATTTTGTGTCTTAGTGTGGATTTGAGTTATTCTGTTTGGAGTTTGTCCAGCTTCTTGAATCTGTGGGTTTATATCTTTTGACAAACTGAGAGTTTTCAATCTTTTTTTTTTTTTAATACGTTTTTCAGTCCCATTCTCTCTTTCCTCTCTTTCTGGAACTCTTATCATACAAATGTTACTTCTTTTATTATTGTCCTCCAAGTCCTTGAGACTTTTTTCATTTGTTTCTGCAAAGTTTTTCTTTGTTTTTCTGTAAATTCTATTTGTCTGTCATCAAGTTTTCTTCTTCTATCCTCTGTTGACTGCATTCTCTTATCAAACTCCTTAGGTGAGCTTGTTATTTCAGTTATTTTACATTTCAGTTCTATATCTTTCATTTGGTTGTTTTTCATAATTTCTATTTATTTGCTGAGATTTTCTATTTTTTCATTTGTTTTAAGAAAATTTGAAATGGCTTGTTTGAGCCTTTTTTTGATGGTTGCTTTAAAATTCTTTTCAGATAATTCCAATATCTGATACCTCTCAGTGTTGGCATCTGTTGTCTTTTCTCTTTCAAGTAGTGGGTTTTCTGGGTTTTGATATGATGGGTAATTTTTAAAATTTTATCTTGGACATTCTGTCTATTATGTTAGGAAAGTCTAGGTCCTATTTTCATCTTTTTTTTTTTTTTTTGTCATCAAGCATCTCTTTATTGACATGTAGTACAAGGGATGGGTGTGTTTGTATGTGCAGCTTCCCACTGGACCTTACCTACACCACTCCAGCAAAAGTGGAGCACTTATTCACACGCTGTCTCAAGGCAGATGGGTGGTTTGGAAACTCTGCTTCCCGCTTAGCCTCACTGACTCATCGCTCATGAAAGGCGAACGTTGCATGCTACCACTTTATTGCCAGTAAGTGGAGATGTAAGCTCAGCTCCCAGCTGGGCCCTGGAGCCCCCAGATCAAGGGGAAGTGGAGGACTGACTCACACTGCTTAGTTGCTGCAGGTGGAGGCAGAATTTAAGCTTCCTGTTGGCCCCACTGACATAAGGGGAGGGAAGAAGCATGATGTCAACTACTCTGTTTCATATCACTTCATTCAGCCTCCTTGGTTGGTATGAAGGCTTAGCTCTCTACTGGGCCCAGCTGACACAGGCTCATGGGAGAAGGGGGACAAAGTACTGACTAGGCATTCTTTGCCCTACCTCATTTAGTCTTGGCTTTGCCAGTGGATGTGGAGGTCAAGCTTCTCATTGGGCATTGCTGACCCCATGGATGGTAGGAAGTGGGATCCCTATAGGTCCTAACTTGAATTACCTTGTTCAGTTGTAATGATGCTGGGTGGGTATAGAGATTCAGCTCCCCACTGGGTCTCTCTGACACCAGAGGCAAGAGGTGAAGCCTAATGGTGACTAAACCCTGCCTCTTCTGCCTCACTGAGCCTTGTTGCTACTGGGTAGGAATTTAGGTTCAACTTGTCATTGGATCCCACAGAAAGAACCCTGGTGGAGGAACTGGAATTGTGCCTGTGTCTTCCACTTAGGGAATTGATGATTACCTTCCCACTGAGCCCTGCTGACACTGCCACAGCAGAGGAATCAGCATTGACTGGCTCTGCTGGCCAAGGGATCAAAGATTAGCTAGTTACTGAGCCTTTTTTGATACCACTTGGCAGGGGAATCAGAGTTCTGCATGGTTCTGCCCAGTGGGGAATGCCCACTTTCTTGTGGATACTACTCAGACAGGGAATGGGTCACTTTGACTAAGAGCTGGGGGAGAGAGAATCCTATCTCCTTAGCTATGCCTACCCAGAAAGGAGCTTCTGTCATGCTGAGCTGGGATGAGGGGAAGAGAAAGAGCAGATTATGGTACAGACTTTAGCTATTCTTGCTGTGATTTAGTAGGTTTCTTAATAAATCTTTATTTACTATATTCCTCTAGGATAATTTCAAGTGACTTTGAGGGGTTGTTTTTTTAAATCATCTTTACCAGTTATGTTTGTTTTCTTGGGGTGCAGGTACGGGAAACTCCTTACATGCTGTTTTCTTCTCAGAGTCCTCCTGAGTTCATTTTTAAAATCTGATCACACTTTTTAAAGTATGATTATTGGATCATCCTGCATCCTTTTATGTTTTAGTGTAGTAGCAACTCCTTTGATGACATATGGTCACCTGGAGGGTCTTATAAATGAGTGGAACCTTGAGCTGGAAGATCAAGAGAAGTACTTTCTTCTCCAGGCCACTCAGGTCAATGCTTGGGACCGTACATTGATTGAGAATGGTGAGATGGTAAGAAGATGTTTTCATTAATCTACCTATATTGTGCAAGTATTTACAGATGAACATAAGAACATAGACCTGTGTTTTGTGGTTTTCTTTGTTGTTGTTGTTTTGTTTATGTTTTTGTTTTTTGAGACAGGGTCTTGCTGTATCACCTAGGCTGGAACATAGTGGTGCAGTCACAGCTCACTGCAGCCTCAATCTCCCTGGCTCAAGCAATCCTCCTACCTCAGCCTCCTAAGTAGCTGGGACCACAGGGGCACACCAGCACCCCCAGCTAATGATGTGTGTGTTTTTTCAGTAGAGATAGGGTCTCACTGCATTGCCCAGTCTGATCTCAAACTCCTAGGCTCAAGTGATCTTCTTGCCTTAGCCTCGCAAAGTGCTGGGATTATAGGCATGAGCCACCATACCCAGCCCTGTGGTTAATTTTCTATTCCAATATTGGTGAGCAGTTCAAAATATATTCCTTAGGTAATAAGTACCCTGAATAAAAGGAAATCTTCCATATTTGAAGTGTATTTGAGAAAATTAATATTGCTCTAAAATTATTATATAAATTCAAATACTTATATTGTTGTATTCATATTTCTCTTTATAGATTAGTATTTTACATGGAGAAGTGAACAAAGTGAAACTGGATCAGAAAAGGTAGAACCTTAGATTTCCTTGGTTGAAAGATTAAAGACCTATCTTTTTATTCAGTGTTTTTTTTCCCTCTGTAGTTTGTTAACTCTTTTCTTTTTGTCACTCCAAATTCCTTTCATCAGCCCTTTTATTAACTTACTTTATTCAGGTTGGAACAAGAATTGGATTTTATCCTGTCAGAGCAGCAGGAACTAGAATTTCTGTTGACTTATTTAGAGGAGGCTACGAGCAACCAGAGTGGACTTCATTATCTGCAGGATGCAGATGAGGAGCGTGTGAAGACGTAAGTAACTGAATAAAGATTGAAGAATGGGGCAGGACTTACATATTATGAGAGCATTCCAGGAACAGAGGGGAAAAGTCGAATTGGAAGGCAAAGAATACAAATCGGTAGAAAGGGACAAGTTTTGTAGTTGACATTTATCAATTTGTTTGACTGTTTTCTGCTTATCTTTTCTGGATGCTTGTAAATGAGGAAATCATTCTGGCAATTTTGTTTTATAGCATTTTGTTTATTGTTATTACTGTCAACCTTATGCATGTTCACTGTAAAGGTTTTGTATTTGTCAAATTTGTTCTTAAATTGGAAGTACAAATTTTATGTGTGTGGTGTCATGGTATTGTGGGATATTTGTGGTATCCTCTTTATGTTGATTCTGCTAAAACTAATGTTCATGCAATTGCTTTAGTGATAAATCATTTGCTATTTTAAAGGCAATTTGTTAATCTGGAGGCAAACTGTATAGCTTTCAAAAATGGAGTGATTTTGTCAGTGTATTAGGAGGGCTATATTTTATTTGTGAACTCTTCAGTCTTTACCTTCTGTCAGTACAGTGCCAACGTTTCCAAAGTAACTTTATTTCTCTGGAACTGAGGTTTGGTAGTCTGTCAATTTATTAAGTATTAGAATTTGTATGAATGAACAACATAATCTAGACTGAGACTAAATGGGACACATTTTATCAATGACTTATTATGAGTTAAGACTGGGCCTATTTTTAACATGCTTGTAAGTTAACTTTTTTGTAGGAGCATTAAATGTGGTAAGTACAACTAATCTGTATTAACCTAAACCAGTTTCTACTTTTGTATTTCAACCTTTGTGAATTTTTCTTTTCTTTGTGTTGCTTTCTATGCATTCTATCATTTTTTTGAAACATATAGAGTTACATTTTTGGCCATAAGATCCTAACTGTAGTTTGAAGAAATCTTCATGACATTAGTTCCTTTCCAGTTGCTCTTTTGTAGTCAGACATATATTCAAGATGAAGTCTTGCTCTGTTGCCCAGGCTGGAGTGCAGTGGCACGATCTCGGCTCACTGCAACCTCTGCCTCCTGGGTTCAAGCGATTCTTCTGCCTCAGCCTCCTGAGTAGCTGGGATTACAGGCACGTGCCACCACACCCAGCTAATTTTTGGTATTTTTAGTAGAGACGGGGTTTCACCATGTTGGCCAGGCTGGTCTCGAACTCCTGACTTCATAATCCACTCTTCTCGGCCTCCCAAAGTGCTGGGATTACAGGCATGAGCCACCACACCCAGCCCAGATTTATATTGTGATGAAATATTTACCAGAATCTTCAACAATCTAGGCAACCAATTCTATGGCATAAGTACTATGCCATAGAAAGGCAGTAGATAGTTGTTACCTACAAATCTAATTGACTCTTTAAATCTTTATACACATTAAGGTTGAAAAATCCTCTGGCCACTTTAATTCTTATAAACATATTTATTGACTGGGTCGTGTGTGTGTGTGTGTGCGCGCGCACGTGTGTGTAGTTTGTGTGGAAATCTTGAGAATTTAGGCAACTAGTGAACTTAGCAGATTTGTCTATCTTTGATTGTCATGAAGCTCATTTCTCAAAACATCTTTTTTGCCTGATGGAGTATATTTATATGAGGTTTTATTTTGCAAATTTGTGTATTCAAGATCATTGAAGACATCTCAGCATTTATTGAATATTGCCAAACCCTAAATAACTTCTCTTTTGTATGTAAATGTCCTGTAGGTGTATTTTGACACCTTAAAGGATTCATTTGCTCTACAGATCCCCAGGGTATTCACCTGGAGGATAAATAGATGATGATAAAAATGGCAAAGTAGATAAAAGCCTTCTCATTTGGAGTCTTTTTAGAATATGGTAATAATAAGTTCACAAATGCTGCATCCATGAAAATATATCAGTGGTCATAATTGAACTCCACTGAAAAGATAGGGGAATTAGGGCAAATCCAATTAGCAGTGTCATGTTTATATGTCAACAAGAATAGGTAGTGGAGAAAACACTTTTTGTTAATCCCTTTATTTTACTTGCCTTTTCAGTTACAGATTAGCAGAGCGTATAGATGCTCAGCTGAAACAAATGGCCCAAGATCTCAAGGATGGTGTTAATCACCTGAATACATTTGAAAGTTCTGCTGACACTACTGATCCGGTGTGTTTACTGCTTTGTGTACTTAGACAACTAAGATTTAGTATGAAATTAGCATTCAGCCAGGTATGGTGGCTCATGCCTAAAACCCGAGCACTTTGGGAGGCCGAGGCAAGAGAATTGCTTTAGGCCAAGAGTTTGAGACCAGCCTGGGCAACATAGTGAGACTCTGTCTCTATAAAAAATGAAAAAATCTATCTGGGCATGGTGGTACACACCTACAGTCCTACTTACTCTGGAGGCTGAGGTGCTATGCTTGCACCACTGTGCTCTAGCCTGGGTGACAGAGTGAGATCCTGTCTCTAAAAAGAAATTAGCATTCTGTGGTTCCTTTAAGCTAGTCCCTTTCATCCATCTTCTATAGTGTTTCTTCTTGCCTCTAGAGATATGAAGCCCCTTGGGTGTGGTTAGTGGAGCAGGAAACATTTAGAGGCAGAAAAGGTTGTGAGCTTTTTGTGGTTATTCCTAGGAAGGTGAAAATATTACTCTTCCCTAAGCTGTCATGGTTTTCTCCCTTATTCTTCACATAACTAAGTATGTACCTGTATTTATTTTTCTGTTCACTTATTAGCCAGTTCATTCTTCTTTTTACATATTTGTTTACATACTCATGTAAGTGTTAGTAGGTATGCTTGTGTCTGTTAAACACAACCAGGCAATCCTTAATTTATGATTAGATTGTATTTTAACATTTGTTAGGCTGACTGTTTGAGACTTTACATTTTTCTATAGAAACTTGGTGAAATATGGTTATTAGGTTTATACCTGCCCCCATAGAATACTACTTAGCTCGTAATAAATGTATTGTATCAGTGGAATTACAGCTGAGGCTCCAGTTAGAGTTAAGGTGCTGTGAATTAATTTGGCAGTAAGAAAGAATTGGTTTTTTTTTTTTCTTTCTCTATACTCTGATCAGAGTTTATTTCCTGTACCTTTCCCTGTTGTCTCAGCAGCTAAATGGAGTCCTCGTTTTCCCATTCCCACTCTGTGGCAGTAATAGTAAGAGGGATCTCCCACTGTGCTTTCTATCAGTTAAATATAATTAGGAGTGAGGCCAGGATCGGGTAGGTGAAGATGAATGACATATATATAAGTGGTGATTATTCTTTAGTAAGCTCTTTGTTCAATTATATACAGACAGTTCTTTATCTACATACACATTACCATTTTTTAATTATAAAGATACAGTGTGTTATAGCTGAGAAAGTATTAGAATTTTAAGTCGTTTAATCTCTCTGGGTCTTGGCTCCTTCTTTTGCAAAATGTCAAGGATAGACTAAATGATCCTAAGTCCCTTCCGGCTATAAAAATTATGCCATTCTCTACTTTGGGTGAATCTAAAGTTGAACAAAGACAAATATAAATTAGTCTGAAATTATTCATGACACCATGTCCCTGTGTTCACACAGATGATCAAGAGTTTACAAAATACAGATTTTCTCTTAATGAAATATTAGATTACCATTGTAATTCCAAAACTGAAAATTGTTTTGTTGTAATAGAATTTTGATGCATAGGTAAATATATGCAGATTTAGACATTCAGCAGAGCTGATTTCTAGTTTCTCCATGTTGAATTAATATAAGTGGAGTGTTCTCAAACAAGTAAGTAAAAGGAGATTATAATTCTGTCTTTGTCCATTTTCTCTACTTCGCCCTGGATTGTTTTGTTTTATTTTAGTAGTGGGTAGTAAATGGTTTGAGTCTTTTTGTTTTCCTGGCAGGGGTGATTGGGATGTTTAAGATGAGTCAATTAAAGGGTAATTGCTGTTTGATTGCAGAATAAAAGAAGAAAGAGATCACTGACAGCCCTTTTTGCAGATAGCATAAATCCTTGGACAAGAAACGGGAAAAACATTTTCTGAACAATAATATTCCTGTAGATAATTTATTGTAACCAGATTAACAAAGCTTTATTACTCTGGGTCACATACTAGGGAAGAAAAATAGGAGCTATGTGTTCCAGTATTCACGGTGATGCGATTTATCTTTTTTATTCCCCCCTTTTTTGTGAGCGGCAATGGGAAAGACCACCTAATGTCTAAAAGTTTTATTAAGTAAGTTCATATTATGCACTGTGTTGTTCAGTCACATTTTCTTACAAAATCCATAAGGAAAATTAAGTCATCTATATTACCAGTACCCTGATAATATACTGGTGTATTTCTTTCTAGTCTTTTTTGCTATGCTGCTAAAAATACTTCTTTTGTTTTAAAGAGTACTGAAAACTAAATAACTTTTTGTATTCTGTCTTCACTTAACATTCTTTCATGGTCTTTGCCCAAAATTTTAACCATTCTTTGAAAACATAAGTTTTAATGGTACTACAGTGTTTCATCAGGGTTGACTTTGCCATAATATACTTAATCATTTTTTGCTTGGTAGAGATATTATTTCCAATCTTTAGCCAATATAAAATAGTCCAGTAATCACCACTTACATTTAGATTTGATTATCTACTCTGGATAGGCTCCTGGAAATAGAATATACTGACTGAGTCAAAAGGTATGAATATTTTAAAGCTTTTGATATGTATCATAAAAATTTACATTTTGAAAGGTTGTGTCAATTTATATTACTATTGGCTATATATGAATGTACCTATTTTTCCCACGCACTCGATAACTGAGTATGACCATTTTTAAAAAATTGCTGATTTGGTTGACAACTGGTGCTATTTTTAATTTTTTATGTGAATTCATTGTCTTGTGAAATGTGTCTTAATGTTCATTATACTGGGGCAGTCAGTTTCTTATTAAATTATAGGTATCCAATTCCTGATATTTACAAATAATTAATTTGAACCAATATATAAAGGTAATGAACATTGCAAATATGAATTAGCAAAAAAAACACTGAATTAGTAATTCTCAGTCCATTTCTTACCAGAAGAAATTAAAAGTCACTTCCTAATGTCAATTTCTTATGTTTATTTTTTATTTACCACCTCAGAATAATCATAATCTAAAAGTCTTATATGTGTTTTCAGCTCTACCAGATCTGCAGAATTCTGAATGCCCATATGGAGTCTCTGCAGTGGATTGATCGGAATTCAGGTGGGAGTTTGCTTGTATGCCACTCTGTGTATTTATTGCAAGTAGAAAATGTGATACATGTCAGTTGTATGCTCCATGATCAAACTCATATAAAAGCTGTTATATGGGTGTTGCTTAACTCACAGTATGTGTATTTTAGTTCTGAAAAACTGTAATTCCTTATTTTTTTAAATGAAATACACATAGGATAAACTAGAAATTAATGAAAATAGAGGATGGATAGCAATGGGGCACATAGAGTTGGGATAGAAGCAAGACTTCTATGAATATGCCTTTTTATACAGTTTTGACTTGGGGACCATATAAATGTTTTACATACCAAAAAATTAGAATTAAGTAAAAAATAATGGGAAGGAAGACAAATACTAAAATTGAATACATACTGAAACTAAACAAACCTACATAACTAATTTATAACGATCACCCAGTTCAGATAACTTTTGAACCTAGTGTTCTTGATGATGCATCCTTCTAGGATGTCATCTTAAGGATATAAGGAACCTCAAGGAAATTTTAAACTTTCTCTTAATAGATTTATTATTAGTTTCAGAATGATAATACCAGTATTACTACCATTTCACATATATTGAGAAATCAAGCAAAGCATATTAGTGATAATAGAAGTCAAGATTTTCATTGAAAGTCACAGAGATAAAAGTTATTTTTCCTCTTCTTTTGTATTTGCATTATAAATTTGAATGTAAGATATCAGTAATTAATTCCTGTTCCTTTGTTCTATACACAGAAATTGCCTAGAAGCAATGACAGACATACCCCAGTGGCAATGAGCACACCTAGAAGCTAGATCTTGGTTTCTAAATGCCATTCTCACTGAAAGGAACCAAGTCTTCTTGGGGAACTGTCTAATCTCATGCCTCAGGCTGGGAAAGTACAGAGTGAGCTTGGGACTTCTTGTGCAAGAAAGCAATCATTGTTAAGTGACTAATAAGGTTATATCAGGCCACAAGATTGTGCTTGAAGGGACTCCCACTGGCCACATTAAGATGGTTTGAACATCAAAAAGAATAGTAATAGTAACAGATTATAATAGATTGAGGGAAAATAAAATCTCATGAATCTATAATGATACTCCAAAAAACAAAGGAAGTACAGGAGAAAGTCTACAGAAGCATGCCAGCTAATTATTAAAAGGAATGATAAAATTAGAAAACTACCATTAATAAAACTTTAAACAGAACACTTTCATTAAGCTCACCCTCATCTTGACACCCTGCCTCATTCGTAAAATGTTCAAACTGTCATTTCTTGGCAGAAAAATATGATAGCAGAAAATGGACCAAATACAGTCTGTAAGTTGCTGAGTTAATTTTTTCAAAACAGCTTTATTGAGGCATAATTTACATACCATAAAGTTCACCCATTTTAATTGTACAATTCAATGAGGAAAAGAGCCATTTTGCAACCCCAGCACGATAGTTGATTCAGGCAAGGATCATCAATGAATGCTAAAACCATTGAGTTTAAGATTGTTGGAGAACAGGATATTTATGTGGTCTCAAAAATATCACTCTGTAGATTACTGAAAAATTACGAAGGACAAAATGTGCCTTTACAACAGCTACCTAACATGTACCACTTTAATGAAGTGATCAAACTTAGCCTCTCCAATAGTAGGATAACTTGACTTTATGTGCCCCTTGATCTGACATGATAAGAAGTATACAATATCATTTATGTAGTAGTCTTATCAAAAATGTTTAAGTTGAATCTAATCATAAGAAAATAATCAGATATTCCACGTGTGAGACATTCTGAAAGATGATGTAATATTCTTACCCAAAATGTTTAACTTGAATCTAATCTCTAGAAAATAATCAGACAAATTCTATGTGTGAGACATTCTGAAAGATAATTGGCTTAGATTCTTCAAAAAGTTTGTTATGAGAAAAAAAATTTGAAACAAATAAAAATAAGTGGATAGTCTTAGATTAAAAGAAGCATAACATTCAAGTCTGCCTTGTTAACCTTGATTAGGTACTGATCAAAACTAAAAAGATATTGTTTAGAATATTGGGGGATTGAATATGGACTGTATATTAAATGATATTAAGGAATTGTTTATTTTACTAGATGTGATAGTTATTATGATTATGTAGGAAAATATCCTTATTCTTAGAAGATTCAGGCTATGTTATTTAGAGAATTCTCATGTCTGTAGTTTACTTTCAGCAAAAATTTGCCAAGAGAAAGATTTAGCAATTTGTGGCAAAATATTAACAGTGGGTTAATCTAGGTAAAAGGCATTCATGTGTGTGTTTTTTACTATTCTCTCAACTTTCCTATGGACTTAAAAATTGGGGGGCAGAAATCATTTTTATACACTTTGCTTAAATATGGAATATAATGAAGCCTAAGGAATTAAGACAAATAGGAGCTGATTAACCAGAGTTACTACTTTTAAAGACGTGGCCTTAAAATAATACAAATTTTATTATTTGGCATTCTAGATTTTTCATTTTCTGCATTAATAGAGGTCATCAACCATGAACTTCTTCAGCTTCTTTACCTTTCAGACATACCTATATCATCATTCATCTTTACTTCCTTCTCTCCTGTGTTAAGGAAAAAATATTCTATCCATTTTGAAACTGTTTTGAATTATCAGAGGGAGGTTAAATTCTATATCACTTTAATATTTTTAAAAACTACCTGATGGGGAGAGGTTTCTAAGTCAGATAGATATGGGTTCAAGTCAAGGCATTACCACTTAATTATTGTGTGACCTTAATTGTTACTTAATCTCTCTGAGTCTGTATCTTCATTTTTAAAATGAGGGATAATATGTACCAGTTAGGGGTTCTGTAAGGATTAAAAGAAGCAATGTCAGTAAATGGTAGTGGCAGAACTGGTTACTGATTCAGAATTTACTATGTTTATGAGGTCAGGTAAGAGAAAAGAAGGGTCATGTGATTCAAAAGGTAGCTATTAAATTGAATCTAGAGAAGGCAGTTCCAGGTAGATTATCACCAAAAACCAGTTACCTAGACTTACCTAGGCAAGTTATAAGAACTGCTGAGATGTGAGAGTGTCAGTAACTAGAAAACACTGAGGAATGAGATTAAACAATGCTTGGCTTAGTTGTCTTCCTGTCGCATGTTTTTCTACAGTGATCAGTGCTTCTTGGGTAGAGTTGAGGAAGGTGTTCAAAAGTAATTTGGGCTGTAGAGAAAAATTATAGTGATTTTTTTCTCTTGGCAGGGATTCTCTTTATCAAAAATGAAATCTCAAGGCTTTCAGCCAGTGTTTCCTTAATAAAATTAAGACTGTTAGCATTGAAAGGGACTTACTTTACTTAAATGGAGAAACTGTGGCTCAGAGAGGTTGAATGACTTCTTTAAGAACACACAGCTAATTAATGGTAGAGCTAGGACCAGGATCCAGACTTCCTTATTATCAGAATGGTGTTCTTTCTTCTGGTATGCTCTTAAAACAACTGTAAGGTAGGACCACTGAATATAAAAACAAATCTTAGTCATGTACCTAATAGTAGAGGACAAAGGTTATCAAAGTATGATAGTACTTTGGATAGGATATAAGTTCTAGGTATCTGGGGAAAGTTCTAAGTCAACACAGGATAAAAAGAGAAAAACAATGAAGAGTAATGATTACTTGGAGTTACTTTTTTGCTAAAAATTCATTTGAGCTGGGGAGGCGATGAGATTTCATATTGGTTCTCAACTGAGACAAAGGAGGCCATGATAAAGAATGAGAAAAGAAGCCTGGTATTTCTTGACTCTGTGGGCTCCTTTTTGCCATTCCCACCCAAGAAGCCTTTCTTTTTCATATCAGGAAATGACAAGATGAAGAAATTGAGAGTGGCAGGGTTTAACTATGCTGTCTTAACAGAGGTTGTTTTTTGTTATTTTATTTTGTTTTTTAGTACTTAATTGAATCATTTATGCTAAAATGATCTGTGGACTGAAAAGTTTTAAGAGTAAGCTCAATGAATCCATTTATTCCTACTCAAATAATAGTTATAGAAAAAATAATAGATGTGTTATTTTAACAATACAAATATTATAGTTTTTTACTAAAGAGAAATCTTCAACTTGTATATAGTCAAATCTTTATTTTAAAAGGATTCTGGGAAATGTTTTGATAATTTAATATCTTTAATTTTAATACACATTTTTTCCATCATAAAACATGACAACTGTTGCACTAAGAGGATCACATATTTAACTAAAAAGTTGGCTCTTTAAAAGTGGTTTGGAGGCTGGGCACTGTCTCTCATGTCTGCAATCCCAGCACTTCAGCGATCCCAGGATGGATCGCTTAAGCCCAGGGATTCGAAACCAGCCTGGGCAACAAAGTGAGACCTCATCTCTTAAAAGAAAAAAATAGCTGGGTGTGGTAGCACACACCTGCGGTTCCAGCTACTTGGGAGACTGAGGTAGGAGGTTTGCGCTTGGGAGTTTGATGCTTCAGTGAACCATGATTGCATCACTACACCCCAGCCTCAGTGACAGTGAGACTGTGTTTAAAAGAAAACGTGGTTTGGAAATGAAACATTGCACTTTAAATATGTTAAAATATTACATAAAAGTCCAGTCAACTTTTCAATATCCATGAATAAGTTACAGAGAACCAGGCCCCTTTCTTTCTCTAACTTATATGATGGGTTAGATAAGTGATGGGACTCAACTAGAAAGGTGTCAAAGTACTAGATAATTGAATTAAGGAGTGTCTGAACATGTGTAGGCAATGATCAATTTTTACATTTGACATTTCCCTCCTTTGTTTAACATTAACTATGCCTTTTTTTCTCCCGATCAGTCTAGATAATTGGGAGTTAGTAGTACTATAGTCGAATACCAGTTTCCCCTCTTGTTATTCTCTTTGTAAAAATTTTCAACATTGTTTTGAGGTTGACTTGATGGCAATGCTGCAGTCACACATCTGTCTTCTGAGTTGGTAGTCACTGAAACTGCAGCAACTCCAGTTCTTCTGGGACCACTTATGACAGAATTGGCAATCCATCTGAGCCAATTTGTTACTAGTTTTAAGTATATGGTGCTACTTCTCTTAGAGAGGCGACATGGGGTGAGGGATAGGCATTTTCTGTTTCTTCATATACCAAACCATAATCATGTCTGGTAATATTTATCAAACACCCCAATAAAGGAGTGGGCAATGGAAAAATCTTATACTTGTAATTATTTGAAAGTTCACTGAGTATTTTCATGGCATTTTACTTTTTCATAAAGTATCCCAAAGCTTCAAGATGAAAATATATTTCATCCATAATTATTGCAGTCTCTTAAGGAATAGAACTGCATAATTATTTAATAGCTGCTCACAACATTTAGGCTGCTGTTCAGGGCAGAGTTACTCCTTACTATAAGCACCATAAGGGATTTTGTAATATTTCCAAAATACAGTCCCATTAGTACGAAGCCGAATGGCTATGAACACCTTATTTTTTTTTATGTAAAACATTCTTAGTTGTCTCTCACGATTTGACTAACTCTTGCAAAAAATGTCATAGGATCATTTTAGAGAAGCAGTTTTGTGTGGTATATCATAATCATACTTTATATTTATCCACTGTTAATATTTATTGTCTGAGGGTATTGTTTTAAATTAGATATTTTGGAGTTGGACTTTTTTAAGAAGCTTTGGTCCAGACAAGGAAGATTTTTTAAAAATACATATATATGTATTTTTTGAGACAGGGCCTCACTCTGTCACCCAGGCTGGAGTGCGGTGGCATGATCTTGGCTCACTGCAACCTCTGCCTTCCGGTTCAAGTAATTCTCCTGCCTCACAGCCTCCCAAGTATCTGGGACTAGAGGCATGCACCACCATGCCCAGCTAATTTTTGTATTTTTTGGTAGAGACAGAGTTTCATGGTGTTGGCCAGGCTGGTCTCGAACTCTTGGCTTCAAGTGATTCACCACCTCAGCCTCCCAAAGTGAGGATTACAGGCATGAGCCTCCACACCCGGCCTAAAAATATTTTTATTAATTACTTTCATCCCTCTCATATCTGAAGAGTGTCAGATGCTGAGATGCCAAAAGATGTCTCTGATTTCCAATTAAAGTGCCTTCTTCCTGTTTTGTCTTCTAGAATAGAATCTGATTTACTGAGCAAGGTTGTTTCACTTACTTCGTCTTCTTCTTTAATTCTTTGGGAAATCTTGGTGGCATTGGTTGATTGGTGAGGTCATCTCTTGCGTTCTTGAGTATAATGTTCCACTTCACATAATTGAAAAGCGAATGCCCTTGTTCTGCCAGAGATGTGGTAGCAACACAAAGACATCTCTGTTTGTGAGGTTCACTTTTAGCATCTCTTAACCTCAACAGAGACACCTGGTTGTTCCCAGCGGAGTTAATTGAAAGGTATTTTATGTCTTTCCACTGTTTATTAGCCACTTGCTCATCTTTGTTCCCCTTTACAGACAAAACAGATTTGTTGTCACACCTTTGTCTCTTGATTCTAAAGAACTTCTTGTAGGTTTGATTAAGGTACTAAAATGAGAATTGAGCAAGTATTCAGCTCCTGTTAGGAAAGCGCATGTATGTGATGGTTAACATTCTCAGACCTCCACTTCCCAAACTTCCTTTTCTATATGTAAATCCAGATTTGAAATACACTCAATACATCTGCAAAATTAGATTTCTCACTAATCTACTTATGTACATTTTGTGCCCAAGTGAACTTCCTCAAGCTGGAGAGACTCCCCAGATGAAATATGTAACATAATTTAAATCACTTCCAAATAGCAGAATTTATATTGTTTGTGAAAAGGACGGATTTTTCTCCAAAGCAATTTTCTTTCTGTTACTGGCCAAAAAACAAACACAGTACACTGGAGTCTTACTCTAATGCTTTTTTGGGGCCCATGCTCAATGGCCACCTCATGGATAAGATAAACTGATGTTATTTCACCAATTAAACTTTGCCAGATGGGATTGAGATAGGCCAGCCGCGTTCTGAGCACTTCAGTGTTTGAAGGGACAACAAATAGTATTTGCTGCGGTGCCAGTTATTAGCTCAGCATAATACTTTTTATTAAAAAATTTCACAGCATTTGGCAAACAGGTGCACTGTAACAGAAAAAGCACTATTATATGGGAATCTAAAGATACAGGTCATAGTAGAAATTCATTAGCTTTGGCCTTTGAGAGGTAACTTAACCTTCTTGAGTTTTTAATTCTTTGTTCCATCCCAGGGTATTGTGGGAATCAAATGGGGTAATATATATTGACATTTTGAAAACTGACGGCTATATAATTGGAAGATGTTCTTTTAGATGCTAGTTGAAATGACATAGCAGTTGTGACTCTAAATACAAAGCATCTACTATATGCCAAGTCATTGTGTATCTCAGTGTAGGAGGTATAAATATTAATGGCACCTCTGCCTTGAACAGATACAAAGTGAGGGGGTAGGGGTATGGTAAAGGAAGAAGAACATAATATTCAGTTGATTTCCTAGAAAAGGTAGAATTTGAAATGAGACTTGAATAAGTAATAATTTCAACAGGATGACTGAATAAAGATCACTTAAGATATAATAATTCTACTACCTTTTTCTCCTCTGCCTCCATGAATTCGGGATCCTTTCACCATCTTTTCTTTCTACACTCTTCCTTGAAATCTATTTCTTTATTAATTTTGTGTGAAGGGCAGTGCTATACACAAGCAGAATGTCTTGTCACCACCTTAATCAGTGGCAAGACTAGTATGTGTATTCTCATGGCAGAAATGGAGCTTTGTACATCTCTGTAAATACTCTTTTTCCCATCAGATATACTTAGCACTAAGAATTCAGGTACATTTATTCTGAGTGTAACTTTGATTTTAATAAACTGGGTATCTTAAAAGTAGCTATGAATAGTGAGAGGACAGTATTCTCTCTCTTTCATCCTCTTCTCTCTTCCCTCTCCCTGTGTCCTTCCCTTCCTCCGTTTCTGAATGAGAAATAAACCTTAATTATGGCAAGCCCCTAAGATTTCAAGGTTGCTTTTAAACAGCCTAACTAACAACCTAACTAATATAGAAGGTAGATTCGACAATAACTGAAACCTTAGAATGTGGCACTGGCTTAGAAGGCAGGCAACAATGAGGAAACATACGGTGAAGGCTGAAAAGACGGCCAGCCATATTAAGCAGTTAGAACAGATTTGGTAAAACTGTTGCCTAACATAAATTGGGGGTCATATTATATGGCTACTGAGCTGGCAGTTGTAGGAAAAGAGGTTGGGAATCAAAACTTATTTATGTGTGTTGGTCTTTTTTTAAATTGAAATTTCTATTGAGGTAGTTGCAGAATAATATAGAAGTCATGTTAATTCCTTACCTAGTTTTCCTCAGAGGCAACATCTTGCAAAACTGTAGTACAGTATTACAACTAGGATATTGACATTGATAAAATCTAATCTACTTCAGATTTCCCCAGTTTTACTTGTGTATGTGTGTATTTAGTTCTGTACAGTTTTATCACATGTAGATTTGTATATCTACGACCATAGTCAAGATACAGAACAATTTCATACCACATTTCCTCATGTTCCCCCTTTTATCACAACATCCACCTTCCCTCCCTTCTGCCAAATTCCCTTACCCACCCCTCTACCCGCATTTCCTAATTAACTCCTTGGCAACCACAAATCTATTTTCTATTTCTAAAATTTTATCATTTCAAAATATATAAATAGAGTCATACAGTATGTAACCTTTTGGGATTGACTTTTTTCCCCTCAGCATAATTCTCCAAAGATTCACTGCATTTCTGTGTGTATCAATAGTTTGCTTCTTTCTATTGCTGAGTAATATTCCATGGTATGGGTATACTGCAGTTGGTTTAACCATTCACCTGTTGCAGGACATCTGGGCTGTTTCCAGTTTTAGGACATTATGAATAAAACTTCTGTTGAACGTTTATGTACAGGTTCTTTTGTGAACATGAGTTTTCATTTCTCTGGGATAGATGTCCAGGAATACAATTGCTGGATCATATAGTAGTTGTGGATTTAGAAACTGCCACATTCTTTTCCAGAGTGGCTATACCATTTTACATGTCCCCCAGCAGTGTATGAGTGATCCAGTTTGTCTGTGTCCTCATCAGAATTTATTATTTTCGCTATTTTTCATTTTAGCTCTTTTAATGGAGGTGTAGTGATATCATGGCAGTTTTAAGTTGCATTTTCCTGATGAATGATGATGTTGAACCTTTTCCTGTACTTATTTCCCATCAGTATAAACTTTTCAATGAAATGCCTGTTTGTGTCCTCTGTCCATTTTCTAATCAAATTGTTTGTT